CATGTACCACCAAGCTGGGCTAAATTAGTTTTACTCTCAATTAATGAAACACATACACACACAACCCTATAATGAGAGCATGCACCTTGCCGTCAGCTGGGCATGTCCTGCATGGACCCAGGCGATATCTCTAGGTCAAGCCTTTTTCTACAGACTGAGGACGCCTGGAGCTTCCAACCTCCACAATCAGGATGTGGAGCTCTTGATGACCTTGAAGTAGGCTTGTGGGTCACTGGGCAGAGTGAAACTGGCTACATGTCACTACAGCAAAACCTCCAGGGTTTATCCTAGGACTCACCCAGGGAACCACGTGACTCGGCATCTATTGCTGGCAGCATCTATCCTCAAATACCGTGCGGATTCCCGGGTCGTATTTCGTGGTTACAGGAATTTGGCCCAACAGAAACTCTATTAAATCAGCAAACACATGTGCTCTCGTTTCACAGGCCAAGCCAGGGATGGAACGGCCCGGTCGGCCTCCCCTGCCCACAGCAGTCAGAGCCTGGAGTTCTGCCACCTGGTTGGGTTGCTTTACTTGGCTGTGGAACTAAACGCAGACTCGCTTTGAAGAATGAGGCTCTCAAATATTCTAGAACTCTAAGAATGCACACTCACAGGCGTGCTGGGCAGACCAGAGTAACTGCCAGACTTTCAGAGTCAGAAAGTGAAGGTTTGGCCCTGTGGAGCGCACACACAACGCCCCTTCCCCGGGACAGGCTCCGTCTTGTGGAGCTGGCCCAGAAACACCGGGATCAAGCACTTTCGCTCTGCCAGGCAAGTCATGCGCTGAGTCCGATAGCACTTTCCACACCTATGACTTGGAACTACACATTTTGTGGTTGTTGTTGTTATTCCTTTTAGTTATACAGAACAGTAGAATCTGTTTTGATATAAATATACAAGCATGAAATGTATCTTGTTCTAATTAGGAGCCCATTCTTGTGGATTCACATGATGGTAGGATTCACTGTGGTGTTTTCATATTTGTACACACAGGAAAATTATGTCAGATTCATTCCACTGTCTTTCTTTTCCCATCCCTCTCCCTTCCCTCCGTTCACGTTGTTAATCTACTGAATTGCTAGTCTTCCCCTCCCCCCCCCCAGTGGATTAGCTTCCACATGTCAATGAGAACATTTGACCTTTGGTTTGGGGGAGGGGTTGGCTTATTTCATTTAGCATGATAGTCTCCAGATCCATCCAGTTCCTGGCATATGCCATAATCTCACTCTTCTTAATGGCTGAGTAATCTCCATTGTGTATGTATACCACGTTTTCTTCATCCATTCATCTGTTGAAGGGCACCTAGGCCGGCTCCATAGCTTAGCTATTGTGAATTGAGCGGCTATAAACATTATTTTGGATGTGTCACCGTAGATGCCGATTTTAAATCCTTTGGGTATATGCTGAGGAGTGAGATAACTGGGTCAAATGGTGGTTCCACTCCTAGGTATTTGAGGAATCACCATCCTAGCTTCCAAAGTGGCTGCCCCAATTTGCAGTCTCACCAATAATGTATGGGTGAACCTTTCCCCCACATTCTCACATTGTTACTTGTATTCTCAATAATTGCCATTTTGACTGGAGTGACATGGAATCTCAGTGTAGTTTTAATT